TAATAATAATAATAATAATAATAATAATAATAATGACCTCTGACATTTGACTCCAGAATACTGGAATCTATTATGGTACAACAGAGGAGTTCAAGGTAAGTCCCCCTCCGCCCTCCCCCGAAAACAAATAAGACTAAGCTAACCTAAATGAAAGCAGGCATACACATACACCTGAAAATAAGTAAGTGAATAAATAAAACAATTAACTTTAATAATTAGCTATCTTAATAATTTGCTATAACACCCAGGGTTAAGCTTTCATTTGTTTTCTTTACACACATAGGCTGGACTTCACGTCCGCAGTGCGCTAACACCGGCTTCCTAACTTTTTTGTTGCGGTCAGTTAGCAGCACAGAAACACAGACGATATTCGAGTTCAGGGATAACTTACCTGTGCTGGACTCAGTGGCAAAAGTGAGCGACTACCTGTGATAGTTCTTCTTTTCTTCGCTGAACTCATATTTGTGCCAAAGTAACCATAAAACCACCGCTAAACTCTTTAACGAAGCTCTGTGCCGTTGCTAGGGCAGTTGCCAAGTGATTAACGGTGACCTCGCGTAAACACCTGTGGACAACAGGAAGACCCGCGCGCGTGGACGTTTGGGTAGAACAGCAACAAAAATCTAAAGCTTCATATTTAAAATATTTGACGTTTTATTTGCTTTTCTCTGGAGTTTTTGTGTCTGTCGTGAACACTGTTTCTGTGTTTCACGTTATGTCGTGAAAGTCCTCGCGGGTCTGTTAGACTTTAATCTCCCCTGGCAACATCAATGTTTAGGTGAGCGAGTCCTTTCATTGTGTGGCACGTGGTGGTACTGCCCCCTTTCCGATACAGCGCTGGGAAGTGGAAAACAGAGAAACTAAGAGCAATAAGAAAAGCAATAAAAACAAAACCGTGTTTAATAAAGATGCACTTCATATGTTCTATATAATACTGTATACTTTCCCATGAACATTTTTTTAGTTTACACTCCTCGTAATTATACTTCATAGGTTTCATTTTAGCATTCTTTGAGATATTTCTATCTTATAATAGCTGAATATAGAAAAAAAAAACATTCCTGCACAGTCACTGTGCCTGCATATACCTATTCTTATTTTCTCAATACATTCAAAGAATGAATGATGTTGTAAAATAAAGATACACAAAGATAGATCAAGATGAAGAAATCTGTTATTTATTGAAATTATTTCAAATACGCCATGTGTTTATTGGATGATGTTTATTTGCCATAAATATTAGTAAAAATAAAAGTCACTTTAAACATCAACTCAAATACAACAACCTGAAACTGGTTCTGTGCTCAATAATTAATACAAAACATTAAACTTTTAGTCAAGACAAAGTCTTTACCATCCCACCATCAATGTTTGACAGTCTAATAATAGAGTCACTCTGATATTCTGATGCCTGTTGAAACCAATTTACCAAATACCAACTGAGCTATGAACTATTCAACTGACAACTGAAGCTATTCATAAAGGCTATGAGTGAGTTTTTAAAATAGATTAATGTAGCTGGTCTGAGGTCTTTAGGTTTAAAATGCATACTGTACTTCTCCCTATATCGGTAACTGACATGTAAAATATTTTAAGTATGAGTTTGTGCATTTCAGTGTTTATCAAAGTGTGTAAACATTCTTTGCCCTGTATTGACTCATCTACACATTTCTTTTATTTCTTTTATTCCCCTCAGTATATTGCATAAAAACTGTAAAAACTATTTACACAAAATTACAAAGATAGCTTTGGCTCGGATAAAACATTAAAAATACAGACACTGCCTTGTTTCTGTAGAGAAACGAATATTTTCTAATGCCTAGAAATTATATTATTAACAACCACTGGTTTTTGTTTTATTATCCAGAAAACATGTGGAAACAAGAGAACCAGAATGCTCTCAGGTTTATTCTATTCCGAGATCTTCAGTAGGACTGTCTGGAAACCAGACTGACTTCTTATATCAGAGATCGCAGCACACAGAAGTATTTCTCTGTTCCACTTCCTACATGGAGTTCCTCAGCTCAGGCAGAGTGAGATCATACCTTCAGAGAAAAGAAGCATGAAATGTTTATGAGATCATTAAGCATCAAATAAGCATGCACGCTCTGTTTTTTTAGGGCCCATGCCCTACAACCAGATTTGGTCAACCAGTTATTTAAAAAGCATGTATTTGTTGCTGCAAGTTAAATGAGTTTTCTTGTTACTGGGTGGCTCTTTTGCACAAAGTAATACGAATTCATTTCCACTGAGATGTCAAGGAGGCTCGCAGAGTCACAGTCATGAAAAATTGATCTTGTTTCACTGGAATCTGACTTGTGAAAATTGAAAATGGACAAAATGGAGAAGTGCAGATAAAATAACAAATATGCAACTTCACCAGGAGTTCAGGTTGGAACCATTATTACCTAAGAACCATAGCATAACTGTTTCCAAATCACGTTTGTCTTTTAAAAGCACACAAACATTTGCCATCTGAAGAGATCAGCCATCCTGTTTTAACAGGTGCAGTTTATTATTGTTTTGCTGAAATATGAAAGGCCTTTCCTTGAAAAAGGCACCACCTGGACGAGAGCATAAGTTCCTCTAAAACCTGTTTATACCTTTGAGCAGTGACAGTGACTTTCCAGATGTGTAAGCCCTTAGATTGCAAGTCTTTACTTGTTTTTTATATATATATATACATTTGAATATTTTAATAACCTGTTGCCAAAGGTTTCAGTTTCACTTACTTTTCTAGCCCTTTCTTGCCCTCTCCCAACTTTTCTGGACCATGTTGCAGCTATGAAATTTGAAATAAGTTAATACTTTCTTGAAGGTTTCTCAGTTTAAACATTTCACATGTTTAAATTCTATATTATGGGTTTATATATATTTGCAAATCATTTTGAATTATATTTTTATTTATGTTTTACATAGTTTCCTAACATTTTTGGAATTGTGATTGTTCTCTGTAATCTGACCAATAATCTTACCACAAGTTTATCTGTGCTTCAGCTAAATGAGCTAAAACACAGGAACATTTGTCTTCTTATGCCTCACAATTGTGTAATTGGTACAAAAACAATGTGAGACTTCCATAAAAGCAGCAAGGAAGTTCCAGGAAGTTATATAGAAAAAAGGAAACCAGTTAAAAAGTGCCCAGCAACAAAGGTGCAGGCAGATTTTATTACTGCTGGACAAAGCCGCTGTAGCTGTTTCCATTATTTGTACTAAGTCAATGAGCTGCAGGCTGGAGCTTCATTTACCACCAGATAAGACAGAGGAATAGAGAACCATCAATCGTATCTAACTCCCAGCAAGAAAGTCAATATGTGAATTTTCCAGAAACTGTTCCTTTAATTAAGCTGGTCAGGGAGGATTTTCTTTACAAACTGATGACCGCAAGACAATAAAAGAAGGAAGTATTGATACTTAAAGTCAGCACATTCACATTCAGTGTCACATAAATCTAATCGTAATAAGAGAAAACTGGCCCCCTTACCACGCTGTGACGCCTTTGACTAGATCCATTTCTGATAAATCTATTATTACCTGCAGAAAGAAGCAGAACTGCCATTAGTTGTCTGGAACAAGCTGCAAAAGTGTGATAGTGAAAGCAGCTTGGATTTCAATTTATGCCACATATGAAGAAAAGTAGGAAAATGACAGGTCTTGTATTTGTCTGAAGAATGAGTAAACACATAAAGCAGTTTAGCTGAGTTAGAGAGTTTTAAGCTTTTAAGGCTTTGAAGCTTGTGACAGGAAGAAAAATGCAGAATTTACCAGGAGCAGCATGAGTGTTATTAGCACAAAAAATGTTGCTTATTTTTGTTACAATTGTTATGGTAGCAGTACTTGTTATTTAAAAATATTTTAAAAAATATTTTTCAAGTTATATTTTCATAAACAATGCAATATATGTTTAGGATTTTTTTTCAATAAAAGGCTAATGTCAGCATAAATATGTATAAGAAAAAAATGTACATGTATAAATATTGTTCCATATATAGTTTTATATATTTTTTTATATTTTAAGACATCAATACCAAATGAGTAGTTCAGCTTAACATACCGAACCTATGTCCTTTCTCTCTCGAGAGACCAAAATGCTGTTGTTTTTCACAGACACATCCAACTTCTTGGCTTGTGCTTCTTGAAGTAACACATCAAACTCAAACCTGTGATGAAAGCAGGTAAACAAAAAGAAAGTGACACCATCTCAGTGTCTGCTTTAAAGACACACAAACTACAAAGTATAAAAATATAAATTATTCCTTTACAACAAACAAATGGTGAATGAGCGTATTAGACTTACTTTTCATTGAAGACGGGATTGATCATCCTCTTCTTGACATGCGTCATCTTACGATGCTTCCAGGTTTGGTGGGGGAGGAGATACAGGCGGACGTAAGAGTCTGTGCTGTGCTCACTGCAGGGCAATAAGTTCCTGTGTGGGAGAGGCCACGGCATTTAGGAGAACTGTTTCTGTATATTTTAATTAAAGCCTTTTAATAACTTAAATGGTAATGAGGACAGATTTTTGTGACATACCTGCATCTGATTATAAAGACTATAAGCTTATGTTTCAGGGTTGCATAGCGTACATTTAGCTCAATCTCTCCAAATGAACCCTGATGATTCCTAATGGCTCTAAAGAGAAAAAATTGCAAAGGTCAGTTTCATTTTTATATTTTTTTGAAAATGCAGCATCTAGCTCAGTTCAGGATATCTTTGGAAAGGTTAGAAGTTGACATTAAAGGACACGCAGAGAACAAAGTCTCTCTCTGGAAATAAGAATTCATCCGAGGGGTCAAACCTGGATGTAGTGATGGAGTTCTGTAACAGCAGGCTGTGAGAGGTCAACCGGCGCACATTCGCAGATGATTTCCTTTTCTTAGATGCCCGGAAGGAGCCACGGCCTTGAGCTAAATAACCTTGATTTGGTGAAGCTGTCTCTTGGTTCGGAGTTGAGGGACCAGGGGTATTGTTGGAGGAAACTGTGTGAGAGGAAGATGGAGCATCGGAGGGACTGGAGACTGAGGTATTCCCTGTTTTTCTGGCCTGTTGCTGTTTGACTTCTGAAGAAGGATTGATGAAAGTCTTAGGTGGAGGCTCTTCCAAATTAAGAATCTGTGTGAGATAGAAGACATGAGCAATGCTACTTATGACAGAGGTGAATAAGACAATGAGAAAACCAACAGAGAACATTTGCTTTGTACAGGAAGACAGATGGGTGTGTGTGTGCATGCCCACCCTGAGCGTGGCCTTGAGTTTGATCTGGCTGTTTGCTCCAGAGTGCTCTAGCAGGAAGTACTGGTCTAGAGTCAGGTCCGAGATGTTGAGGAGGCGACTAAGGGGCAAGTTGAGAACACCGAGGTGATTCTTCTTCTCAGGCTCTTTGACCTGAACCACATGAACAAAAAAAATATTTAAAAAAAACACAAATTACATTAACCTCATGAAGAGATCAGATAGACTGAAAGAGGTCTGGGTTCAGAATATGCTTCAGAATCATTTGTGTCAATTGTAGTAAAAGTTTTATTCTGAGTCAAAATTGTACAATTAAATGGGAACATGATAAATATAGCACTATATATATTTTTTATTAGCAGCAGTGATTATAGTCAAATTTTTAAAAACAATACTTTCCAAATGGTTGTTTTTGACAGCAATTTGTTCTGGATTAAAAAACAAACCTGAACAAAGAGCTGCTGCGTGTTGACGTCATGCACAAAGAAGGTGAAGCCCTCCTCCCACACCGGGTCTTTGGAAGCATACACAACCTGGAGAAACAGTGCATCAATAGTAATTCAAGTTATTCACTGCAAAATGATGACACAGTTACTGTGCTTTGCGTTTGTAACTGCAGTATTTTTTCAACTGACTTTATAATAGTTTCACTGATCTAGAGTCAAAATGCTTCCAGATTTATTTTGGATCACTAAACCTAAAAATGTTGCTTAAAACTGTTGGTAGGTAAGTGACACACGTTCTTATTTGAAACCAGAAATGACAAAAATTGATTTTAAGACTTAGATTTTGCCAAAAATGCAGGTAGGTGCTTATTTTCAGATGGGTTCTCATCCCAAACTATTCTTCAGTTTTACTGAATTTAGGCTTTTATCAAATTTCAAATGAAATGATATCTCTATTTGATCTGTAGACCTCTACTCTGACCTCTTCCTGGTAGCGGAAATGGCCTAAAATCTGTAAATATCATAAAAGTGATCTTTTTCATTCATAACAAATTGTAACTTAATGAAAAAAGGTGAAGCATTACCATTTAAAGCAAGTGCCCATACAGCTATAATAACAGCTTTAATTATCATATTTGATATCATAGGGGAAAGATATGTGTTTTTATGGTAAAGTGAGAGCAATACCTTGCTTTTCTGAACATTTCTGTCAATGGAAAATTCAACAAAGCTGTTGGGAAAGGTTGTTCTCTTTGTGATCTGAAAACAAAGCAAAACAATGACCTGGTCAGAACATCAGTAGAGCTCTATTTCCATTCCAATACAGTTAAGTGGATCTGTTTCTTTCAGTCAGTGTCAATATATAAAAACATATAACCTGCCTTGTAATTGTAAACCTCTGCCAACCAGGTTAGGTAGCAGTTTACTACCATATTTTTTCCTGTTTTCTGTATGAATTTTGTCATAATTATGTGATGAATTCTGTGTGCTTTGTGAGGTCTCCGTGAGCTTTTTCCTATAACTGGGTGAATATTTGGGATTTCTATATTGACTTTAAATGTGTTTTGAAGAACTAGTTTATCTGGTTGTTTATACTCATATTTTAAATGTAGTTGATTCTGCAGAAAACAGACGTTCAAATTTTTGGTAACAGTTATTTAGACCAAGACCAAGTCCCATGTAATTAAATGGAATTTCACAGAATTTTATTTGAAATTACTGTCTGATTATATTTACCCACAAATCCTTAAAGGTAGGCACAAAAGGGAGGTAACAAGTCAGCTTTTTTACAGGAAAAAAAGAATAATTATAGTAAATGTACGGAGCCCCTCTGATGACATGGTCCAAAAAATAAATAAATTGTGGCCACAAAATAGGTATAACGTGCGCACGAAATGCTAATTTGTGGGCACGAAACACTTGACCAATAACCGTGATCCTTCCCAGGCCCTTGCAGTTGGTTGACAATAAAATCTATCCCAATGTCCGGGTCGTACTTGCGTCTGCAAAGCAACTGGGCTCTCAATATCCTGTTTAAATGTCTTTCCATAATAATGGTTCCTTTCAGTGCCAGGCTTTTCAAAATACATCTGCAGCTCATTTCCAGCCTAAAATTGTCAGGGATCTGGGTCTGAGGGACCTAGACCTATTATTGTGTATTGTTTACTTCACTGTAAATAAACGCACTGCATTAATTGCACAGAGTTCCGCATTTTGGGTCCTCCTTCCCCACACACCCACGGTCTGCCACGCAGACCATGACAAAAAAAAACCTCAATCATACTGTCTCTGGCCATGTTGTATAGGTTTAGCCTACTCTCATGCTTATGTCTCTACACAGCTGTCCAATTACAATATGATGTGCGCACGTCATCTATTTCGTTGCCACAAATGCGTAATTTGTTGCAACGTTATACCCAATTTGTGCCCACAAATTAGCATTTCGTGCGCACGTTATACCTATTTCGTGCCCTCGAAATAGTATTTTGTGGCCACAAATAAGTATTTCGTGGGCACGTTATACTATTTCGAGGGCAGGAAGTAGTATTTTGTCTCCACAATTTATTTATTTTTTGGAGGATGTCATCAGAGGGGCTCCGTATAAATGTGATTGCTGCATAACCAATTGTAAGCAGTGTTTAATTAATACAGTGACCGAGGAATCCTGCGAACACTCAGGATGAAGTCCTCATTAGGAGAATGGTTCACAGTGTCTCTATGGATTTGTAAATGTCATTTATCAAATGTATGTATGAGTTTAAGTGGGATTATATAAACATATAATTGCAACTACTTTACTATTTCATACTTCACCTGGATTCTCTGGTAGCATTCCTATGACACTCCTTTCATAAAAATATTATTTGGCTTGTACAAAACCAAAATTGGGAGTCTTCCAACAATAAACTGCAACGTTCTTTATTCAACTCTGTAATAAACCACACCACCAACTAAGACGAGGAAGAAGAAAAACATTTATGCTGACAATCATTACTGAAGCAGGAAAAAATAATAATGGCCAACCTCCGTCTTTACACTTCCAAATAATGATGCATAAAGATAAGAAATTAAGTTTTCAGTTTATTTTTATCCTGCATTTTCACATTATAACCAGCAGAGGACAGTACTAATAAAATTAGTTCACCTTGAATTGAGAAAATAGTAAAAGAGTTTTGTTATTTTAAAAAAATCCTTAATAATTCTACCAGTTGGTTTATAATTAGCTAAAATACCAAATGAATGGAATTTATATCAATTATGAAATCTGTGAAAGTAGAACCTTAATTTTTTTTTTAAAGTCTGTTTCCTCCATGTTCTAAGTTTCCTTCCTGCATGTTTCTTAAGGCTGGGAAATTTAATCTGAACATGTCTCGGTTCAAGGAGTTAGATGAAGAGCAGCTGGCAATAACAGGCATATACAATTACAGGCATGCGCCAGACAAACTGGAAAGACCACCTCTGAACACGCACAGGCACATCTAGAACACCTACAGAAAGCAGAAGACCTGACTGATATGGCTTTTTGGCATCAATATACAAAAGCACTATCAGTTGCAGGACATTGAAATGAAGTAAATAAAAGTAAAACAAAGCTTTTGTTTTAACATGTTCATCTATTATTGTAAAAGAAAACATACTCTCACTGGCAAACTCAATAAGCTTTGGGCTCCCAATAACCCCCAAAAATGACGGATATTTTTATAAACATGTTTAGGACAGAAAGATATAAGGGTCCTTAACGTGATCAAAACAAGTGATAGTGAAGGACTTGCTTTGCTGTCTCTATTATTAGAGCTAATATTGCACATTTGATCCAAATATCTGTATAAATTTGGCATTAAAACAAATTGCAACAAGAAAAACAAGGACACAGCCTGATGCATTAATGCTAAAAAAGCTGTCGTCTTACCCGCGCTTCTTTTGAGTTTTTCCTGAGCCTCTGTTGGTCTGAGTTCTGAGCAGGACAAAAATACAGCTGAGAACATTTGCATGACAACAACAAGAACAATACTACTTATCAACAGAAGATGCTTACAGGTAGATCTGTGGCATTGTCCAGATACACCGCAAGTATGGCACAGGCAAAGTTGTCATTGGACTGGGAGAAAATGTTGTGAGAGGAAAGAAATGTGATTTCCACAGCAGTTGGACACTGACACACATACAGCTGCTGCTTTTAGTTCAAAGTGAAATAAACAAATTTGAATGTTATGTTGAAGAAATAGTGGGCTGCTGTACCTCCTGCAGTAGGCTGGTGTCAGTCTGAAGGGAAAACCACTGGAGCTTAAGATGAACTTCACCGTGTGGCACATCCTCCAAAGGAAACCACTGCAAGAGTAAGAGGATGTTTGAATGGCTTTAGTGCAAACAGAAAACCAGGGAAAATGGTAGCACGCGCATTTTATATGAAACAGTGCACTGTGGTACAGAAATGTTGTGTTATGAAGATTAACCTATTGAATGTTGAATATTGATTTATTGATTAGCATTCAAATATCTCAGTGAATGCAGAAAAAAGATCTACCACAAAGCAAGAAAGCACGAGACAAGGCTAATCAAAAGGTATTGGCTGAAGCACATGCTTATTACGCCAACCAACAGAAGCTCTTTTAGCATGCAGCTCATGTACATAGGGCTCGAAGCAAAGAGTAAAACAAAACAAAGCAAGCAAACAAACAAACAAAAAACAAAGCAAAGCAAAAACTTTCCACCTGAGATGAGTAACTACATTAAATTAAATTTCATTAATCAAAGCAAAATAACCAAGAGTTTCAGTATTATTATTATTGCTCTTTTCACTCTTGATTTATATATTTTTCTAATACTCTATTTTTAAACATGTTTTTAAACAAGGAAAATGAACTCCACCTTTTTAAATCACTGTCATAACTATTCCACAAGTTAACTCCTCTAACAGAAACACATCTCTGCTTTATGTTCGTCCTTATCTTGTTTTTTCTTTAAGAAATCTGTTCCCCTTAAGTCACATTTACTCTCTCTGACTTTAAACAGCTTCTGGGTACTGCGGCAAAGCAAGTTATTTTGTGCTTTATACATTATCTGTGCCATTTTATATTCAACTAAATCATAAAAT